TATGTAAAGAGTTGAAATGTTGATTACTCATTTTACTCGAAATGTTGGTTAATCATAAAGCAAATTACTCAAATATTTTTGTTTTTGGTTAATCAAAAATATTGATTACTCGAGTAACTGAACTTTTGAGTAATCATAATTTCCAATTAATCGAGTAATTGAGTTATTTACTTTATGATTAATTAAAATTTTGAGTAATCAATTAATCGCACAGCCGTACTAACATGTATTATCGTAATATAAATTGATTTTTTGTCCCTTACATTCAATAAGTGCCGGGTGCTCAAAGCCTGGTTGACTCTAATCATCGGTTAACATCGTTATCGTCGTTTTCGACTCCATGCATTTAACACGGTGCCGGTAACGTCGATAATGATGTGTAACCGGGGACTAGTGTCAACCAGGCTTTGAGCAACCGGCCATAACCAGATCGGACTCTAAAAAAAATTCTGTGTGGAAGAATCTGGAAAAAATGTGGTAGATCTCAAAAAAATGTGGTATATCTTTGGGTTTGGATCAAACTTTGTACAAAAATTAAAAAAAATCTGCAAGGTTTCACCCAAATGGCAAACTTTTTAATTAGACTCTAAAAAAAATTTATTTTAGTATAATAAAGTGCAAGATTGAAGTTACTAAAAAGTGCGTTGTGTTTTGGAAATTGTTTTCCTTGACAGTGTAAAGCAGTTCCTTCCATATTAAGATATTTTTCGAACATATTTTAAGAGATTTCTGCAACCTTGCGGAGTGCGAACAAATGTGGCACGTTCCAGAAACAGCTAATTGGGATTTGCCAATTTTTACAATTTTCAAGTAAAAGTAAACAACGCCTCAGAAAACTTTCATGCACTTAAATTTGCTAATACTTTCACAAAAATCGCCGTTTATTAACATTTTCGTTATTAATTCTTTTTATAAATCATCTATTTTGCAATTTAACACAATAAAAAAAAAACCAAAAATAAAACTACTCAAAAACGCGAATATGTGGTAGATTTCAGACCTTGAGTGGTAGATGTGGTAGATGCCCAAAAAAGTGGCAGATCTACCACAATGTGGTAGAAGTCCGATCACTGGCCCTAACTCCTGTTTAAGTATTACCGTATTGATTATTTTTACTTCCTCATTTTTAGTTTCACTGCTGTGGCCTACATAACTACAGCGACTACACCTCTACGAATTTGCCTTTGCCGGCTAGTTGCTTTTATACGGAAAACGACGCCTGGATTTATTATACTGATGGCTGTTTGGAGAAAGTAAAATTTGCTGCTGGTAGAGCAAGTGATGCATTGTCCATTGCTGGCTTTCTGCTTACTGCGACACAGGTAAATACATACGGTGGCGAAAATGTTAATAGGGAAGAAACATTTTAGCAAGCTTGGGCTATTTTTCTTTGTTGAAAAAATTATTATTATTTGCTTTTGAAAATATAGTAGCTTGCTATCTAAAAAAACATGTAAATCAAAATTTTGAACTTTGAAGAACAGCCAGTTCGAAAACAGCATATCTCAAAAAAACTTTTCAAAAACGTCCTATACCAGAATTTGGTTGATAAACGCCTTATTTCAGATAGGTCGATCTTCCACTCAGCAGCCGATTTGTAAAGATTCAACGAATTTAAAAACAAAGTTTCTTTAAAATTTTAAAATTTTTAATAAATTTGTCTAGATTTTTTTTTAATATGCAGTTTTGTAGCGCATTGAATTTTAGTGCAATAAATTGACAAAAATCAACGGTAAGTCGCAGTACTTCAAACTTGCACTTTGTTATACCAAAATTGAATCGGCTGTTTCTAAGAAATCTAATTAAAAAGCTCGAAGTTTTGGTGAAACTTTAACGAATTTTACGATAAACAGGGTTCCATTGGATTCTTGGAAATATATAGTGGCCCTGGAACTGAAAATATTCTTAAAATTTTTGAAGTTGATTTGTATAGTGAAGACCAGTAAATTAGGTATTTAAAATTATACCATCGTAATTCTTGTTTAATTCTCTATAATAAACGTGGTTCAAAAAACATGGGCGTTTTTCAAGAATTATTTTTTAAATATTTTTCTTTATGACGAGATGGTTTATTTTGTGAGAATCAACAATTTTTTGTAATTTGTTTTCGAAAACTTATGTTGAGATATAGTTAATTAAACAGTGTTAAATTAAATTTTGAAATTGTATCTATTATTATAAAGTCCTGAAAAATATTAGTAGATACCGGCCATATGTGTACTACACACATCGTTACCTTAATACAGAAAGTATCTAAATATTTTCTTTCTTTACGGAGTGGTGAAAACCCTGCATACAAAATCAAGTCCCTTTTGCTGCGAATTTCTTTTAGAGGCTGTTTATTTAAGAATGTAGCTAATTTTATGCTATAGTAGACATTTTTAAAATCCAGTAGGTGTTTGGTGAGTTGTCGGCAGACTTTTGTATAATAAATTATTTTTATATTAAGGTAACGATAAGTATTTACACTGAACATCGTGCAGTTTGGACGTTGGTTTTATCCGAAAAATACTGGATTTTTTCTCAAATATTTTTATTTTATTTTTTTCAGGTGATGGCCTTAATATTTTCATCCGCTCTCTCTTTAGCGTATTATCGAACTGGAGAGTACCAAGAGTTGTAGTAAAAAGCGAAATTTTAGGTAGACATAGAATATTATCTTTACATCACCTAAAAACTTGCAGATTTAAGCACTTCTAAATCTTGATATTTTTCTATCAAAAATAATTTATTAAAAATTAGCGTATACAAATTAATAATGTTAAATGTTTTCGTATGATTTCTTTTTAGCTATGATATGAGTTTACAATATGTGTATAAGTATTTATGTACATTGTATGTGTATGTACATAAAACAGTATT